TTGGTAGTTCAGTTATTCATTTGACATTTTTTTAAGCATCTACTATGTACCAAGCACTTTATTCAAAGTTTGTGATATGTTTGTTTAAAAATGAACCCTGTTAGGGCACCTGGTTGGCTCCCTCAGTTAAGTGTCTGACTTTTGATTTAGGCTCAGGTCGTGATCTTACAGTTTATGGATCCAGCCCCATGTTGGGCTCTGCACTGATGGCTTGGGATTCTCTCTCCCTCCTTCTGCCCCCCTTTCTCTCTCATTCTCTAAACAAACAAACACACATTTAAAAAGATGACCCCTGTCTTCATGGAGCTACATTCCAGTGGGACAAAAGATAAGCAATGAACCTAATAAATACATCAATTTTGCAACATGTAGGGGAAGATAAGTGCCATGGGAAAAATAGCACAGCAAAGTAATTTGGAAATAAGAGGATGGAGTAACAGGTTGTAATTTTAAATACAAGAGCTGAGAAATTTCCATTGAGGAGTTGCAGAGCCAAGACTTTGTCTCAGGAAACAGTGTTCCGAAAGGGGAGGGTGGCTAGTGAAAAGGTCCCAAGACAAAGGGAATGTCCGGCACGTTCTAGAAGGGGAGAAGAGGCAGGGAACCTGGCCAAAAGCAAGCAAGAGAAATTAGCAAGAGAAGGAGGAGATGCAGAGAAAGAGGGTCTGGATCATACTGTGCCTAAAGAGTGACTCTTTTGAGTTTTGCTAGAACAAACCCATTTCTTTTTTTGGTGTGTGTGTGATTTTTTTTTTTAACTTTATTTTTTATTTTTTAAAATTTACATCCAAATTAGTTAGCATATAGTGAAGCAATGATTTCAGGAGTAGATTCCTTAGTGCCCCTTACCCATTTAGCCCATTTCCCCTCCCACAACCCCTCCTGTAACCCTCAGTTTGTTCTCCATATTTATGAGTCTCTTCTGTTTGAACAAACCCATTTCTGTACCTCAGAGAGCACACACGCAGAAAAGAATTGGGCGGTACATTTCTACCTTTTAAAAATATCCATATTCCAGGTCTCAGAGCCATTGGAGTGAATTGCCTTTGCACAACTTCAGGTTTGGTAAATAAAGAATCCAGATTCTTCCTATAAGCGTAGTTAGCCAGAAGCAAAATACTTTTAGCCGTGGGTTGAAATCTCTCCAGGGAGAAATCAAAGTTTTTTGCCTTTCGAAAATTGCCAGTGACCCGAGGCAAAAGAGTTTAGAACTTGCTTTCATTGATACCTGTGATACAGTAACACACCTTCCCACCTGCCCCCAGCCCTTCCTATCAAAAGGCCCATGTTAACAAGAAGAGTACAAATCAAAGCCCAAATTCTTCGTGTTTTTTTGTTTTGTTTTGTTTTGTTTTGAATATATGAAATTTATTGTCAAATTGTTTTCCATACAACACCCAGTGCTCATCCCAAAAGATGCCCTCTTCAATACCCATCACCCACCCTCCCCTCCCTCCCACCCCCCATCAGCCCTCAGTTTGTTCTCAGCTTTTAAGAGTCTCTTATGTTTGGCTCTCTCCCACTCTAACCTCTGTCTTTTTTTTTTTTTTCCTTCCCCTCCCCCATGGGTTTCTGTTAAGTTTCTCAGGATCCACATAAGAGTGAAAACATATGGTATCTGTCTTTCTCTGTATGGCTTATTTCACTTAGCATCACACTCTCCAGTTCCATCCACGTTGCTACAAAGGGCCATATTTCATTCTTTCTCATTGCCACGTAGTACTCCATTGTGTATATAAACCACAATTTCTTTATCCATTCATCAGTTGATGGACATTTAGGCTCTTTCCATAATTTGGCTATTGTTGAGAGTGCTGCTATAAACATTGGGGTACAAGTGCCCCTATGCATCAGTACTCCTGTATCCCTTGGGTAAATTCCTAGCAGTGCTATTGCTGGGTCATAGAGTAGATCTATTTTTAATTTTTTGAGGAACCTCCACACTGTTTTCCAGAGCGGCTGCACCAATTTGCATTCCCACCAACAGTGCAAGAGGGTTCCCATTTCTCCACATCCTCTCCAGCATCTTTAGTCCCCTGATTTGTTCATTTTGGCCACTCTGACTGGCATGAGGTGGTATCTCAGTGTGGTTTTGATTTGTATTTCCCTGATGAGGAGCGACGTTGAGCATCTTTTCGTGTGCCGTTGGCCATCCAGATGTCTTCTTTAGAGAAGTGTCTATTCATGTTTTCTGCCCACTTCTTCACTGGATTATTTGTTTTTTGGGGGTGGAGTTTGGTGAGCTCTTTATAGATTTTGGATACTAGCCCTTTGTCCGATATGTCATTTGCAAATATCTTTTCCCATTCCGTTGGTTGCCTTTTAGTTTTGTTGGTTGTTTCCTTTGCTGTGCAGAAGCTTTTTATCTTCATGAGGTCCCAATAGTTCATTTTTGCTTTTAATTCCCTTGCCTTTGGGGATGTGTCAAGTAAGAAATTGCTATGGAAGCCCAAATTCTTTGAAGCAGACACTCACCTTATCAAGAACTCATCTGTGATGTCAACGTCTCTAAGACGTAAAAACCAAAACAGCCGCGTTCGAGGCCAAATAGGATTGTGCCAAGTCTCATTTTCCTCTCTGAATCTTCCAGCTGCTGTAAAGAACATTACTGCCCATTGAGCACTCACCTCCGATGACACAAAGCAACAACAAAGGACATCTACAACTGCACTCTGCATTTTGAAGACAGAGAGGCATGATAGAGATGTGTTTTTCAAATTGGGTTCACCTAACGTCCTGAAGTCAGTGTGACAAAAAGAGCCTCTCATTGCCTTCTCCGAGACCATAATGTGTAGCAAACATTAATGTATTGATGTATATGAAATGTGGTAGAAACACTCTAAGAAATTCAGGTTAGATGCCAAACCTATAGTCAGGCACACAGAGGAAAGGACTTTAACTGCACCATCAGCCACGAACACAAGGCTGGAAATCACTCTTCATTCTGCATCTGCTTTGGGATAGAAGTAAACCATTCCTATGGGAAGGATTTTGTGCACGTCCCATAATGCCACTCCCACATCTGATTTTGAAATAAAAAATGACATGTGAGTTATCTGTGTTCTAACTACCGTGTTTCATTGATTGAAAATCATATATTTTCCCTTTTTTATATCTCTAAAATTGGAATATAGCTTACAGTTGGTGGCATCTTACAATTATAATTGTCAGCGTTTTAAATTTTTTAGTGGTACATAAAATAATAATGCATCTTACAATTAATCCTGCCGTAGAATCAATCAAGTATGGTATAGAGATAAAACTATTCCCTTGAAAGCCAGATAATTCTTCCAGGAGCAGTTATTTAAATATCTCTCTTGACAGAAATGTTATAGATTAAAAGAGATTTAAAGATGTACTAGCCAAATTTGACATGTGAATCTTGTTTGAATCCTGATTTGAACAAATCACTCTAAAGGACATTTCGGGGGCAATCAGAAAAATTTGAATACTAAGTGCAGATTAGATGATACTAGGAAATTACTCTTAACTTTTTAAAAGTGTAATAATGATATTGTGACTTAAGAAAAAGGTTCCTTATCTTTTAGAGATACGTAGTGAAATGTCATAGATGAAATCCCTTACTGTCTGGGATTTACTTTAAAATAATCCAAGGAAGAGGTGGGGAAGAGTAGAAAATTGCTGAAATGGGGTGATGGATACATTAAGCTCTTCTCTCTACTTCTGTATGTTTGAAAATTTCCCCAATGAAAAATTTTAAAAAATAATGTCCTAAATTTGTAGAAAAAGCCAACGTATTGATGTATATTCAATGTGGTATAGACTCCCGGGAAAATTCAGGCTATATAGCAAATAATCACTGAACTGATTAGGCTTGATTTTAATATATTAATATTTCCATAAAGATACTCCATATATCCATTAAGTTACTTTGAAAAAAGATTACAGTTCTCTTAAGTGATCCTCCGAATTTATATGTAAACAAATTTCTTCATGAAAATGTGTTTACAACTTACATAACATGTATTTATTGAATGCTCCTGTATTCCACAGATATTTGGAAGTATTTACATTCTTAAAACTATACTGTTTAGAACTATATTTTGTCTTTTGAATGGCTAAGGTTTCATTAAAAAGCAGGTCTTGAGGGGCAGCAGGGTGGCTCAGTCCATTGAGCATCTGACGTTGGCTCAGGTCATGATCTCAAGGTTTGTGAGTTTGAGCTCCGCATGGGGCTGGCTGCTGTCAGCATGGAGCCTACTTTGGATCCTCTGTTCCCCTCTCTCTCTCTCTGCTCCTCCCCCACTTGGTCTCCCGTGCTCGCTCGTTTTCTCAAAAATAAGTAAAACTTTAAAAAACTAAAATAAAATTTAAAAATCTTAACATGGGGCGCCTGGATGGCTCAGGTCATGATTTCACGGTTTGTGAGTTTGAGCCCTGCATTGGGCTCTCTATTGTCAGCGCAGAGCCCTCTTCCACCCCCCTGTCCCCGCCCTCTCCCTCTCCCTCTCTCTCTCTCTCTCTGCCTCTCTCTCTCTCAAAAATAAACATTTAGAAAACACTTAAAAAACCCTAACGTGCACAACTTTCTGTTTAGAAAGCGCACAGTTTGGAAAAGAAGTCTATGCTGCATCGCTGGAGCGTCGGCCCGGAAGTCGGGGCACCTGCGGTTCCAGGTCGGGCGCCACCACCCACGAGCTGGGAGACCCGGTGCAGGTCAGTCAGATGCCCCGGCCTCCGTCTCCTCTTTTACTGAATTAGGATATTAGCTGCTCTATCTGCTGCACGGAGTGTCTGCAGCTTCAAATAGTAAATGTAACAGCCCCTTAAAGGGGTTAAAAAATTTTTTAAGTGTGCTCTTTGTAACAAGGTTTCAATAAAACGCACGGTCGGATTAGAATCTGAGGCAGTGTCAACACAGAGCGTTTGGGAGAAGGAAAGAAATCAGCCATCTAAGCGATTGTTTTGCTACGTGACACCAAACCACCGGCGTGGCTGAGCTTCGCTCTGACTTATCCGCACGGAGCAGCCGCCTCAGCCCCGGTGTTGCAGCCCCGGAAGGGCAGCGCCGTGCCGCGCGCACGTGGCGTCAGGGAGCCCGCTGGGCCCGGGGCGTTGTGCGGCTCTGCCAGGCTCAGGCTGGCTCCGTGCCGAGGGTAGAGGGAGGGAACGGCTGGGTGGACAGGGCCAGCACAAAGCTGATCGGGAGTCACGGAACCCTGCGTGAGACCTTGGCAGACAAGCCGACTCGCACCAACAGCAAATGAAGTCCCTCCTTTGCCTGGGTCCTGCGCATGAGTTGGTACGGTTCCAGATAGTTTTGAAAGTTGGCGCCGTTCTAAAATCTGTATCCTCAGAGCCTCTTTCCTTTGTTCTGTGTTTCTCTCGTCCCTGTCGGTAACGCATTTAGTCCATTCTTGGCAGGAAGGCTTCCCTGGTGTGTGTTGGGGAGAACTGTCCAAGGAGCCAAAACTCTGCGTTTTCAGAATTTCAGCTCTGCGCATACAAAGAGAGATGGTTGGAACTGAAAGATATGGGAAAATCAATCCAAGTTACGTTTTTAATCCCTTAAAGATGACCATAATGTCTTTAATTTAGTAAAATGCTTACTTCACTTCCTTGTGAAACTTTCACTGTTTCAGAAACAAATCTCCTGTCTCTTTTCACTCTCCCGTAGAATTAAAGTCCTGTTCCACTGGAAATGAGGCAAGTCTTTTCCCCAGTGTTCTCTTGTTAGCCTCAACAACTTGCTTGTACAATCAACGCCCACTATTAAGAAGTGTGATCTTGCACGAGTCACTTAACCTCTCTGAGTAACCCTTTCCTAACCTGTAAAATGAGTAGGTTTTAGATGCTCCTTTTCAGCTTTTAACTCTTTAATCTTTATCAGGATGCCTAGAAAAAAAGATGCTTTGATTAGTATTTTTTTAGCAGGTGAGGTTTAACCAACAAATAATTTTTCTTATAATTCTTTTTATTCAAAAATATTTCTGACATGCACTTCGATTCATTAGTAAATTAAAACCTAACACTACCATATTAAACCTGACAGAATATTAAAACAATCATATATCAAATTCAAGTAAAATTTATTTGAGAAATGCAAGGATGGCTTGATATTGGTAAGCATATTAATATAATTCGGCATCAGTGAGACTAAAGAGAAAGCAGATATAAATATATCGATTGGTAAAAAGATATTTTATGAAATTCATATATTTCAAAATTCTTATTTCTAAATTAGCACTCTAAGGAATCTCTATTAATATGGTAAAAATTTTATCTTTTAATTTTTTAATTGTTTTTTATGTTTTTAATTTATTTTTGAGAGAGAGAGAGAGAGAGACAGAGAATGAGCAAGGTTGGGGCAGAGAGAGAGGGAGACACAGAATCTGAAGTAGGCTCCGGGCTCTGAGCTGTCAGCACAGAGTCTGACAAGGGGCTCGAACTCATGAACTGCAAGATCATGACGTCAGCCGAAGTTGGACGCCTAACTGACTGAGCCACCCAGACACCCTGGTAAAAAATTTTATCTTAAATCAGTAGCCAACCTCATACTTATGGGAATTCACAAAAACTTTCCATATGGTCCGTGGTCCTTGAAACTCCTAAAACTATAAACAAATTTTGAGGGTATGTGTATTTTTGTGGAGTTAACTTTGATCAAATTCTCAGAGGGATAGAGCATACTAAAAATGCTCTTGAGGCATTACTATTATTATCAGGAACAAGAAAAGAATTCTTGTTATTGCCACTATTATTTAGTAACATTCTGGAATTTCTAGCTAATGACATAGGACAAGAAGCAGAACAAAGAGGCATGTATAACTGTTAGGGATGGCAAAGTTGAGGCTATCATTACCTGAGGATAATATTATATTAAGTTCTTTTAGTTGCAAGACATAGAAGCATGCTCAAGTTGAATTAGTTATACCAAATGATTTTGAAGATACACAGGAAGTCAAGAGGAGAGGAGTCAGCCACACTGAGTGGGATATTGCTCAGGACAAAGGAATGTGTCTAATCATCTAATGGCAGGTGTCCCTAGTTCTTTGCTCCGATGGTCCACCCTGAAGATGATTGATCTCCTATTTCTGCTGTAATTAACTCATTGACAGATCTACCTGTCTCTTCTTGGTAATGAAGAGACATTACTAAAGAGGGTAATGCCCTCTTTAGTATGAGGGCAATGTGAAGGAGAAATCCTTGTTGTTCCTCGTTGTTGTTCAGGGATATCCACACTATTGTTCAGGATCCATAAAGCTGAAATCAGTTTCTGGAATGTGATGTGATACTAAATACAGCTATCTATTAACCAGATCTATGTGTATTCATTCTCTGTCAATACTTCGTTGGGAAAAACCAACCACCCATTGGCTCTGGTCTAGGAAGAGAGAGAAGTTAAATTAGATGAAGTCAAACTGTATATTTTAACAGTTTGCCCTTGTAACTGATTTGGCCCGGAGGCTTACACAAGCCTGGCCCCATACATATCAAATAATCATTATAATGAGGATAATAACAGCTCTTCTTAGGAATGGGAAAGAGCACAACGGTTAACAGTATGACCTCTGGAGCTGGACTGTCTGGATTTGAATCCCAGCTTCATCATTTACCAGCTGTTTACTATTGGGCAAGATATGTAACCTCTCTGTGCCTCAGTTTTCTTATTTATAAAATGAGGGTGATAGGGTTGTTTTGAGGGTTAAAGGAGTTATTACTTATAAAGCACTGATTATGCAGTTAATGCCATATAAATATTTGTTAAATAGACACCTCCTAATGTTTATTGAGCACTTACGATGCGCCTGACACCATGTTAAGTATTTTACATGCATTTTTTTCATTTAAATCCCATAACAACCCTATGAAGATGACACTAATAATGTAACTGGGGGTTTAAAAGGGACTCTTTCGGGGCGCCTGGGTGGCGCAGTCGGTTAAGCGTCCGACTTCAGCCAGGTCACGATCTTGCGGTCCGTGAGTTCGAGCCCCGCGTCAGGCTCTGGGCTGATGGCTCAGAGCCTGGAGCCTGTTTCCGATTCTGTGTCTCCCTCTCTCTCTGCCCCTCCCCCGTTCATGCTCTGTCTCTCTCTGTCCCAAAAATAAATAAACGTTGAAAACAAAATTAAAAAAATAAATAAATAAAAGGGACTCTTTCTAGTCTGCATTTCAGCTGAGAACAAAACAACATGAGCAAGAATACCCACATTCAAAAGGGAGATGCTAACCGGCTTCTGCAGGACATGCAAAGAAGTGGTTAAGAAGCAGTTTTGACCCTTACGTTAAAGAGGCAAGGAGGGAGGGCATCCTTGGAAAAGGACATTGTAAATGGGAAGAGAATAAGAGCGTAGTCCTGACCCCAAACCTAAGGAGAGAGGCATTAAGAGGAACGTGCCCTATGTCTCCTAGAGTTTGGGATCAAAGGGGCTCGTATCTGATGCATGGCATCTCATTCTGAAAAATCTAAAGACTGGGACTTTCACCCTGTGGGAAGAGCAAAGAGAGTTACTTTTGCCAGGAGCAGGTTGACCTGCCAGGGATGGAAGGCCAGAGGTATGTGATTTTCACGGACCGGATGGCCAAATAGGAGGGGCAGGCCTGGGAGTCATTTTAAAGGAGACTGACACCAGGAACATCCGACTTTAAGCAGGAAGTGGGAGGTCAGTAGGGCTTGTAAGTGGCCAGCCCCAAGCGAGACCTTACCCATGATCGTGTCAGGGGTGCTCCTAGTATGTTCCCAAATGGGGTCTCCAAGAGACCCGCAGAAACATTCCATGAAAGGAAGAGTCAGTGTTGAACACCTGTCATCTCTATAGAACTGTAACACCAGTGTCAGTCGAGGAAAATCACGGAGGGGTCAGCTACTCTGGCAGTGAGGGTGAGCTAGGGAGGTGGGGGGTGGGGGTCCGGAGGTGGGCAAACATAGGTTAGAAAGAGAGGAAACCAACCAAAGCCCGACCCTTTTCTCTCTGTGGACTTACATAATGAGTTAGGGCTGACATCAAGGAAAGGGGAAATGAATTTCAAGTTTGGATTTTTACACAGAACTGGACATTTCAATTACTGAAATGAATTACTGTGACTACACATGACAGAGAATTTGTAGTACCCGAGAGTGACTGGAGGTATCCAAGACCTACTTTAGATTTCATCCAAGGGACAGGGATATATTAGCCTACAGAGTGGGTTTGAGTGGGCGGTAGGGGAAAGAAAGAAAATTATTTTCTGCTTGCACCCCACGGAATCCTGCTCTTTAAACAAAATGGTTGCAGTAACAGTGATAGTAACGATTAACAACCCTAACATTTATCGAGGACTTACTATGTGGCGGTTCATGTTGAAAGTACAAGATGCGTCCTTGCTCATTTACTCCTAGGAGGTAGCAACCCTAGGAGGTAAACCTATGGATTTTGTAAAACCCACTTACAAAAAAAGGAAACTGAGGCTTGGAGAAACCAAGTACCTGACTAAGATGACACAGCTAGGAAGTGGCAGATCTGGAATCCATGTGACGTTGGCACACTCCAATATGGATCCTCCCTGCCGTGAGCAACTTGTGAGCCTGGGAGCAAGTCAGGAGCTCTCTCCTATGGATAAGAGAGTGCTTGCAGGAGGCATGGACTTGCTCCAGCGTCTCTAGCATCATCCATACACATTTTCTACAGTCCCACATAGAACCTTGATCGACCAAGCCCTCTCCTAGCTCACGTGACCAGTGGGAGGCATTCCTGGGTAGGCCTCTTTAAGAGAAGACCTGGAGGAAGATTCGTGACGGCCTTTTGTGGTTTGATAGCAGCCTTCCTTGGAGGTAACCAGCCTTTTGTTAAGAGTGCTTTGGATTTTTTTAATGAACTCAAGTCTGGGACTTGCCCGAGGGCCCAGTACTCCTTGCTCTGTTGCGTTTGAATTGGGTACAGGATCCTGTTTGTCAGGTCTGGATTTTTTTCTTCTGATACAATCAAACAGTCCTTTGCACTCCCTGACAGTTTGGTTCCTGTGGTCCCCATAAATGATAAGCTTGGAGTATTAGGCCTCTCACATGGCCAGTTGCTATCAATGCTTCGAGGCGGCAGCTCTCTGGACTCCCACTTGGCTTTCACCTCTCACTGCATCGACCCTGCTGCTCCAGCTCACCTCATCCCCACTGTAATCCGTAAGTGGACTTTTGTTTCAGGCTCTTGAGGTGAGACGTGCGATGATAACTATAAACTGGGTGCTAAGAGTTAAGGTTATGTTCAGAGTTTGAAAGATGATAAAGACGACCTGAGCATTCAATGGCTTAAGTTTGGAGTTTGGGAA